GTAGCTGGGATTTCAGGTGCCTGCCACCACCTCTGGCTAATTTTTTGTATTTTTAGAAGAGACAGGGTTTCATCATGTTGGCCAGGCTGGTCTTAAACTCCTGACCTCAGGTGATCCACCTGCCTCATGCACCCAAAGTGCTGGAATTACAGGCATAAGCCACTGCACCTGACCTATTCCCCATTATTTTAAGTGAAGTATTTCAAGAACAGAAAACCAAATAACGCGTGTTCTCACTTATTAGCTAAAGAGCTAAGTATCAAATACTCACAGACACAAAGATGGGAACAACTGACACTGGGGACTACTTGAAGGGGGAGGTGAGTGGGAGTGTGGGTACCTATTGGGTATCATGCCCACTACCTGGGTGACAGAATCCTTCATACTCCAAACCTCAGTGACGCGCAATTTACCCATATAACAAACTTGCACATGTACCACCTGAACCTAAAATAAAAATCAAAGGAAAAAAATGCCTATTCCTTAATATATGCCACACGATGTTGTGGAATTCATCCCAAACTCTGTAACAATAGGTGACTACCACGAAGGGATCCACCTGGTGCACTAATATCTCTGTATGAAACAAGAAAAGGAAACTGCGCATTTAAGAATGAGGCCTATACAGAATTTCAGGGAGCCTGGGCAGGCCCGATCCTTTATCTGAAGAAAAATCTTGATATTCGGTGGTACAAAATGCTACTTTTAAATTCAGTCTCCAGTCCTTCCAGTGTCCAATTCATGAACATCAGGGCATCTTCTTTCCTATCCTTTTTTTTTTTTTTTTTTTTTTTTTGAGACTGAATCTCACTCTGTCACCCAGGCTGGAGTGCAGTGGCATGGTCTCAGCTCACTGCAAACTTCACCTCCCAGGTTCAAGCGATTCTCGTACCTCAGCCTCCCAAGTCGCTAGGACTAGGCATGAGCTACCATGCCCAACTATTTTTTGTATTTTTTGGTAGAAATGGGGTTTCACCATGTTGGCCAGGCTGGTCTCAAACTCCTGACCTTAGGTGATCAGTCCACTGTGGCCTCCCAAAGTGCTGGGATTATAGACGTGAGCCACTGTGCCTGGCCTTTTTCCTATCTTCTCTTTAGTCTTTTTCTCTCTGCTGCCTCCACCAGCCCTGTCCTATAGGAGCCTCTCAAGTTCTGGATAATTATGAGAGGAGACTTTAGGTCCTTCACATTGTTTGAGACTCAACAGCAAAACCCATCCTTTTCTTGTCACTGCTGAAGTTCTCTCAAACTCTGTTTGCTCTGCCTTAGCAAAACGTATATATTACTTGCCATATGCCAAGGTCTGTTATAAGGACTTCATATCTAGTAATTTTTCAAAGGTGTGGGTAGGGGAAGAAGACCCTGCTTGTGTATATTTCTACCATGGAGGACTTGTAAGCCCCAGCTGAGCACCTAATTTAAGTGTTGGTCAGGAAAGAGTTCTAAGCTGGAGCTCAGAAGAAAGGCAGGTGGGAAGAGGCCCAATAAAGCCTCATGCATGGGAAAGGACCATGTAGGCATAAGAATTATCTGGCAGGATCAGATTTTGACAGGTGCATGCATCAGACTAATGATAATTTCACACCCCTTCAAGGCCATATTTTTGTTAAATATCAAAGGTAAGGATTTTGAGGAGCTGGTGACAGATGTCAGCCTCTTGCCAATCCAGCTCTGGGGACATGTTCGTACACCTGTTTAGTGAAACAGTCCTCCAAATGTTAATTAAAACTACACTCCTTGGAAGTACTTTATTTTAACCCCAGTTCATTTCTGCAGGTGGCTTTACCAAGCGCTCCCTCCAAACACATAAAGTGCTTGGCCTGTGAAAGGCTTTGGGAGACAGAATTGTCTCCTTCTTGGTAGATTTCCAGGGAGTTTTGGGTAATCTGCATCCTGGGGAATGGCACGGTAGCCTGCCCCTTGTTGAATCCTACTTAGCCGGAAGTCTAACTTTGAGAATTCATCAAAAATTGGCTGGATACTTAGAAGATAGCAGAATCCTGTACAATCCAGAATCAGAATCAGAATGTGATGTGCATCACAATATTATCACAGCTGTCTTTATTATCACCACTCTCTTCCTCTAATCCCTTGCTACTCAAAATGTGATCCTAAGACACTGAGTTGGAACCACCTAGGAGCCTGTTAGAAATAGACTCTCAGGCCGTGGTCTGGGCCAATTGAACAAAATTTGCATTTGAACAAGAACAACCTATGATCCATGAATCAAGTGTGAGATGCATAGCAGGTTAACCCACAGTCCCTCAAGGCCCAGTCACAACCGTATTTTTCCATAGCCCTTCTTCAGGGGACCTCAGAACTCATATTTGCATTCTCCACTCTCACCCACCCTGCCCCCCTAAAAGGAGAGTGTCCCTGGCCTGCTTTCCACCCTCAGGGTTTCCCTGGACTACTGATGATCAGTACATCTTGGGACATTCAGGCTTCATCTTTGGACTGCTGGCCCTCCCCCAAAGGATAAGTGACACAGTCATCCCCTGTCTTCCTAGGTTCTGATGTTGGGGGAATGTAATTAAAATAAAATATCCTACCAACCCAGGAGACCTTCTCACAAACACAGAGGAGAAAGACAATTTATTTTTGAATAGATGTTAAACTAAATTGACATGCATCACAGGCAATCCACTACAGAGACTGCAGATTGCAAAGTCGGGAAGAACTCAGATTTTCTGTGCTTGCCTCGGCAGCGCATATACTAAAGTTGGAATGATAAAGAGAAGATTAGCATGGCCCTTAACAAGGATGGCACGCAAATTCGTCAAGTGTTCCATGTTTTTCATCCCATGCTCATGGTTAAGAAGAATCAATATTATGAAAATGGCCATACTGCCCAAAGTAATTTATAGATTCAATGCTATCCCCATCAAACTACCATTGACCTTCTTCACAGAACTGGAAAAAACCACCTTAAACTTCATATGGAACCAAAAAAGAGCCCGCATAGCCAAGACAATTCTAAGAAAAAAGAACAAAGATGGAGGCATCATGCTACCTGACTTCAAACTATACTACATGGCTACAGTAATCAAAACAGCATGGTACTGTTACCAAAACAGAGATATAGACAAATGGAACAGAACAGAGGCCTCAGAAGTAATGCCACACAGCTACAACCATCTGATAATTTGACAAACCTGACAAAAATAAGCAATGGGGAAAGGATTCCCTGTTTAATAAATGGTGTGAGGAAAACTGGCTAGCCATGTGCAGAAAGCTGAAACTGTACCCCTTCCTTACACCTTATACAAAAATTAACTCTAGATGGATTAAAGATTTAAACATAAGACCTAACACCATAAAAACCCTATAATAAAACCATGGCAATACCATTCAGGACATAGGCATAGGCAAGGATTTCATGACTAAAACACCAAAAGAGATGGCAACAAAAGCCAAAATAGACAAATGGGATCTAATTAAACTTAAAACCTTCTGCACAGCAAAAGAAAAAATCATTAGAGTGAACTGGCAAAATAGAATGGGAAAAAATTTTTGCAAGCTACCCATCTGACAAAGGGCTAATATCCAGAATCCACAAAGAACTAAAACAAACAAACAAGAAAAAAACAACCCCATCAAAAAGTGTGTGAAAGATATGAACAGACGCTTTTCAAAAGAAGACATTTATATGGCCAAAAAACATAGGAAAAAATGCTCATCATCTCTGGTCATTAGAGAAATGCAAATCAAAACCACATCGAGATACCATCTCACACCAGTTAGAATGGTGATCATTAAAATATCTGGAGACAACAAATGCTGGAGAGGATGTGAAGAAATAGGAATGCTTTTACACTGTTGGTGGGAGTGTAAACTAGTTCAATCATTTTGGAAGACAGTGTGGCGATTCCTCAAGGATCTAGAAATAGAAATACCATTTGACCCAGCAATCCCATTACTGAGTATATACTCAAAGGATTATAAATCAATCTATTATAAAGACATATGTACACATATGTTCATTGCAGCACTGTTTACAATAGCAAAGACATGGAACCAACTCAAATGCCCATCAAAGATAGACTGGATAAAGAAAATGTGGCACATATACATGATACTTTTAAAAATACTATGCAGCCATAAAAAAGGATGAATTCATGTCCTTTGCAGGGACATGGATGAATCTGGAAACCATCATTCTCAGGAAACTGACACAAGAACAGAAAACCAAACACTGCATGTTTCCACTCATAAGTGGGTGTTGAACAATGAGAACACATGGACACATCACACACTCAGGTCTGTTGGAGAGTGGGGGGCTAGGGGAGGGATGGCAAAGGCTGGGGAGATTGAGGAGGGATAACATTAGGAGAAATACCTAATGTGGGTGACAAGGGGATGGAGGCAGCAAACCACTATAGCATGTGTATATCTCTGTAACAATCCGGCAAGATCTGCACATATATCCCAGAAATTAAAGCAAAATTAAAAAAAGAAAAAGAAAAAGAAATCTTACCCTTTCTATATCTAGGCAGATACAGTCCATTACATACATGTTTTCATGTATGAGGACTTGACAACACTATTGTCACACATAGTTCATCCTAAATTCACTGGGTAATTGGGCTGGCCATCTGTGTTAATTTCCTTTATCTAAAGGAAAAATAAAACTTCTCATATCTTTATGACAGGAGGTAGTTTTGCAGCTTACAGCCAGGCAGCTGCCATGTTAGGCTCCTGCCCTCCCACAGAAATGGGGAGAGGCGGGCTGTCTTTCTTGATGATTACACTTCAAATGGTTCATTCCCACATCCTTAAGAGAAACATTCCTGTTTTGTAAAGGTGGCAAGAGACTTTTTAAAGCTTTTAAGATGATTTATATACATCTTAAAAGGGCAGAGAAAGAATTTACAGTTATAACTTTTTAAAATTTCTTTTTTATTTTATTGAGTCAGGATCTCTCTCTGTCACTCAAGCAGAATACAGTGGCATGATCTTGGTTCACTGCAACCTCTGCCTCCCAGACTCAGGCAATTCTCCTGGGCCAGCCTTCCAAGTAACTGGGACTACAGATGCATACTACTATGCCCAGCTAATTTTTGTATTTTATTTTATTTATTTTTTATTTCTATAGTTTTTGGGGGAACAGGTGGTGTTTGGTTGCATGGAAGAGTTCTTTAGTGGAGATTTCTGAGATTTCGGTGCACACATCACCCGAGCAGTGTACACCATGCCCAATGTGTAGTCTTATATCCCTCAACCACCTCCCACCCTTCCCCCCAAATCCCCAAAGTCCATCATATCATTATTATGCCTTTGCATCCTCATAGCTTAGCTCCCACTCGTGAGAACATACAGTGTTTGATTTTCCATTCCTGAGTTACTTCGTTTAGAATAATGGTGTTCAACGCCACCCAGGTTGTTGCAAAATATTAAAATGTGCTCTGAATGAAGAGATCCCTGCAAACAGGCTTTGTGTGAGCAACATGGCTGTTTATTCACCCAGATGCAGGCAGGCTGAGTCCAAAAAGAAAGTCAGCAGAGGGCAGAGAGATAGGAGTTTGTTTTATAGGTTTGGTGTAGGCAGTGGAAAGTTACAGAGGTTACAGTTCAGGGTGGTTTTTTGCAAGCTGGGAGGGGGTCCCAGAGTCTGGAGTCACAAGGTTGGCCAAGGTTCGTTACAAAGTCCAGTTGCCTTATCAGTTGAGGCAGGAATAAGGAAAATAGAAGAAGGTCTCAAAGTTAATTAGGCACCAAAGGGGTTAATCATTCTTCCCCTTTCTGTGGTCTTCCAGTAACTTCAGACTTTCTAGTTCCAGGAACTCATCTGGAGTGTATGTGCAGGTCACAGAGGTTACCATGCCATCCATGGTGCAGTCAGTTGGCTTAAAAGACCATACACAAATGCTATTATTTTGTTCCTTTTTATGGTTGAGTAGTATTCCATGGTGTGTGTGTGTGTGTGTGTGTGTCTTACATTTTTTTTTGTCAGATGGAGTTTCACTCTTGTTGCCCAGGCTGGAGTGCCATGGTGCGATCTCGGCTCACTGCAACCTCTGTCTCCTGAGTTCAAGTAATTCTCCTGCCTCAGCCTCCTGAGTAGCTGGGATTATAGGCATGTACCACCACATCCAGCTAATTTTGTATTTTTTTTTTAATTTTAGTTGGTCAGGCTAGTCTTGAACTCCTGACCTCAGGTGATCCACCCGCCTCAGCCTCCCAAAAGACTGGGATTACAGGCCACATTTTCTTTATTCATTCATTGGTTGATAGGCATTTGAGCTAGTTCCGTATTTTTTCAATTGCGTATTGTGCTGTTATAAAGACTTGTGCAAGTGTCTTTTTCATATAATGACTTCTTTTCCTCTGGTAGATAAGAATCTTTAGCGTTTTCTAGGTATATGATCATATATCATCAGCAAACAGTGACAGTTTGACTTACTCTTTACCGATTTGGATGCCATTCTTCCCTTGTCTGTCTGCTCTGGCTAAGACTTCTAGTACAGTGTTGAATAGCGGTGATGAAAGTGGGCATCCTTGTCTTGTTTCAGTTCTGAGGGGGAATGCTTTCAACTTTTCCCCATTCAGTATAATGTTGGCTGTGGGTTTGCCATAGATGGTTTTTATTACCTTGAGGTGTGCCCCTTCTATGCCAAGTTTGCCCAGAGTTTTAATCATAAAGCGTTGCTGGATTTTCTCAAATGCTTTTCCTGCATCTATTGAGATAATCAAATGATTTTTGTTTTTAATTCTGTTTATGTGATGTATCACATTTATTGACTTGCTTAAGTTAAACCACCCCTGTATCCCTAGTATGAAACTCACTTGATCATGCCATATTATCTTTTTGATGTGCTGTTGGATTCAGTTAGCTAGTATTTTGTTGCAGATTTTTGTATCTATGTTTGTCAGGGATATTGGTCTGTAATGTTTTTTGTTGTGTTTTCCTGGTTTTGTTTTTAGGATAATACTGGCTTCACAGAATGATTTAGGGAGGATTTCCTCCTTCTCTATCATTGGAATAGTTTCAATAAGATTGGTACCAATTTGCCTTTGAATGTCTGACATAATTCAGCTGTGAATCCATCTGGTCCTGGACTTCTTTTTGTTGGCAATTTTTTTTTTTTTTTTTTTTTTTTGGGACAGAGTTTCGCTCTCGTTACCCAGGCTGGAGTGCAATGGCACGATCTCGGCTCACCGCAACCTCCGCCTCCTGGGTTCAGGCAATTCTCCTGCCTTAGCCTCCTGAGTAGCTGGGATTACAGGCATGCACCACCATGCCCAGCTAATGTTTTGTATTTTTAGTAGAGACGGGGTTTCACCATGTTGACCAGGATGGTCTCGATCTCTTGACCTCGTGATCCACCCGCCTCGGCCTCCCAAAGTGCTGGGATTACAGGCTTGAGCCACCGCGCCCGGCTTGTTGGCAATTTTAAAATTACTGTTTCAATCTTGCTGCTTTCTATATTGGTCTGTTCAGAGTTTCTATTTCTTCCTGATTTAATCAGGAGAGTTGTATATTTCCAGGAATTTATTCATCTTCTCTAGATTTTCTAGTTTGTGTGAATAAAAGGTGTTCATAGTAGCCTTAAATGATCTTTTGTATTTCTGTGATATTGGTTGCAATAGCTTCCATTTCATTTCTAATTGAGCTTATTTGAATCTTCTCTCTTCTCTTCTTGGTTAACCTCATTAATGGTCAATTGATTTTCTTTACCATTTCAAATAGTCAGTTTTTTGTTTCATTTGTCTTTTGAATGTTTTTGTTTGTTCCAATTCATTTAATTCTGTCCTGATATTTCTTTTCTTCTGCTTTGGGTTTGGATTCTTCTTGTTT